ACTATTGAGGTAAAATAACTGCGAGCATTTAAAAAGTGAACTCGAAGTAAAATATTGACTCGGTACATTTTTTAAATGATAATGGGCGTACATACATGTATTTTTGTTGCTGTAATCTGCAATCAGGCGTTCTTTTTTTTCTTCTTCTCGCCTCCGAACGAAAAAGGGAACAAGGACCGCCTGATCACAGCAGGCAGGCTAGAGATGCAGTTTTTTTAAAATTAAAACTAGTGTCAGTGATATATAATATACAGTTGAACCTCTCCGCAACGTTCATCCTTGCCATCCCTTGGAACAGATGACAAGAAACAGTTTTAGTGCCAAAGTATAGTCTTGAATAACAAAACTGCACCATTATTTTTGAAATTCCATTCAATGCGAAGACAAGTTTTTATACCTTTTTAAAGTGATAGCAAATAGCGGGAGACCCTTTTGATTCATATGGAAACGAGCTAGTTATTCAAATAATCAACCTTCGTTTGGACGAAGTGCTTGCGTTGCAGCTTTGAATCTTCCTACAATGGGAAGCTAAATGTTTTTTGTACAATTTACTTGAAACTTGTCTACTTAGGACATGATCGCACGGGTTTGTTAATACACCATGTTATTTCGCTTTTCTTGTCTCTGTTTTTTAGTCTTACGAGGAAGCTTTTCAGACCATAAAAGAAGCCACATGTATAGATGACATCGATCGGTTGGTAACTAAATTCATTGAAGTGGAAGATAAAAACTTTGCACTCTTCAACTATGTTAATGAACTTAACAATGAAATTGAACTGTTGCAAGAACAAATTAATGAGGTAACGTAACTTTCATCTTTTGAACTTGTTATTTTTATGGCTTTTCTTATTCATGCTAGAATAAATATATTCAATTTCACTCAGAAGAGTACAAGTAACACTCAAAACGAGTACAAATGTGTCTCACGGTATTTGTGCTCCAGAAGACCGGTTTGACCGGTTTTTCTACAAACGTCGCACATGGCAGAAAATACATTGAGCGCTTACCATTTGTATAGAAAACCCGGAAATTCGGGGGAGAATTCAAATGGAACGGTTCATTCCGGTGGGATTTTTCCGGAAAAAAAGTAATACCTTTCGAGGTATTACGCTTTTAACGAAACGGCCGAAATTTTCTGTACCATTTGTTTGGATTACTAGTGCCAGGCTTCATGTCGAGAGAAAGCGAAAAATTTACCGGTATTTTGTAAATGGTACAACAGTACAACTCAATCCCGTTCCTGTTTTCGGTGCCAAAAAAGTACTAGAACCATTTGACGGAAATTTTTCACCGAAATTTCCGTACAAATGGTAAGTGCTCATTGTTTTCGGAAGAAAATAAAGAGAAGTAGCCAAATTGTAAGATTAAATAAAAACCGTTTTTTCTGGAGTAAAATCACCTTACCAACAAAGAAATGTCGACGTTTATTAAAAATAGTCAGAACAGACAAACTTAATAAGCATACAACAGATAAGATGAAAACAGACCTGAATGTGTGTAATATTTAGAGAGATCGTGATGGCGACAATCCGTGAAACAAACAGCGTCCATTAAATACAATACCCGACGAGGAACTGAACAGTCTTTTCTTCTAATTCTTTTAAAATTTGAGAAAACTCGACATGGTAGACTCTAGATGTTCTGTAAAGACTTTTCGTTGCCAAGATGGGGTTTCAAGTCGGTAGTTTTCGAGGAGCTGTTTGAATCTCCTTTAATTCAATTGTGGGAGAATTTTCGTCCTTCCATGGCAATTTGCTCTGCTCAGTTTATCTTCTTGCAGTCGGTTTTACACAAAACCGAAAGACCATGAATGTTTGGATGAACTCGTGCCCTTGTTAACTGTTATAGTTAGCCAGTCTTTACAGTCTGGCGTCTTTCCAGACATGTGGAAAGAGGCTCTTGTAACTCCTACGCTAAAGAAGTGTGGTTCTGACCTTGCTTTCAAAAACGTTCGCCCTATATAATCTGAAATTTGTTCCTACGTTAGTTGAACGAGCAGCAGCGGAACAACTTCAGACTCATCTGGTTAAGAATTATCTCTTTTTTACGCTTCAGTCGGCATATCGTCCTAGCCATAGCACTGAAACAGCCCTACTCATAATTAAAAATGACATTTTATTGAAGATGGAAAAACAACACTTATTAAGAATATAAGTATTTACTGAGCTCTATACCCCTGTAGTTAAATAATAAGTCTCTTATTGGACGGGTTAATGTGTAGTATTGTGGGGTATTTTTACGAGTCACGCCGTATTTTGGCGTACCTGTAAATATCCCACGATACTACACACTAAACTGTGCAATAAGATATAGATTAGGCAGATAACGACCTCCGATTGTCTTAATTTGATTACCTGGTTGTATCATCTAAATTTGGTAGTAAAGATTGTGGTATCACCGTTATTAAAGTTTGTTGTTTTATTTCTACTGTTTAACTGCGATATAAACAGAATCAAGCAGAGATTGAAAAGTTTAAAAGTGAGGAGGTGGAGATGGCCACCCATAGAAAGGCCCTGCTTATGGATCTGGAGAACAGCTTGAGTTCGTGCACAGAACAGGCAGATCTCTGTGACACACAGTACAAACAGAGCAAAAAAATCATTGAACAACTTAAATCGGGTTAGTTCATAGTATTGTTAAAAATGTTATACTGCCAGAGTTTAAATTAAGCACACATTTGCTGTAGCAAATAGAATAAAGGCATTCGCTACTTGTAGATTTTGTCTCTAGGTAAAAGGTCCCTCGTAAAAGGCCTTTTTACGTGAGAAAGTTGGACAACTGGCCCGCAAAACCTGAACTCAATTCCTTGGCTATCTTGATAGAACGTAAACGCGGAAGGGTATATAATGTTTAGAGCTTCTTCGTATCGTTAGTTACCATTGACTGACATGGTACCCACTTTTATCTCTCGTTATATTCCATGCAGACATACCTTTTCGCCACAAAGTACTTCGACAACACTTAACTTCTTTCTCAAAATTGTACCGCAAAGATCTTTAATCAAATGCTTGCTAGAAAAAGTTTTATTAATTCGCAACTTTGTCGTAGAACGATAGGCACAAACTGGTAGGGTTTATTTTTTTAGGGCTTTTTTAACTAACGAGAAGTACATTTTCACCACATCACCATTTAGCGACGCTTAACAGGTCAACGTCTGCATGGAAGCTACAAGTAGTTTAGAGTAAAAAAATGCCATAATAATCAGGTAACCTCTAAGGAAGTCGTCCCTCCTCCCTGGGGTTAAAAAGAGCCGGTTTAAAGGCTTGTTTATAGTGGAAGGTGCACTTAGCTTATCTAGTTAGTTTACAGGCACTCCACTCAAATACTTAGAAACAAATAATTTAAATACACCCCGCTAACATCTATCCAGCTAGACCTATCTGCTTTTCGGGCGACTGACCCATTTGCAGACGTTGCACTGTCAGACATCTGATCGAGGAGGCAGCAACAGAGAGTTCGCTAATTGGCCTTACTGACAAGGAGACTGAAGGCCGAGTTTTCTTGGTATTTTAAAGAAACTTTCAATGAACAGTTACAATTCTGCTTTGGCTGTTCTGTTTTGTTTTCAAATGAATTAACTTCCTGAAGAAAAATGTAAAAATTTATTTAGCGCCCACTCTTAATGTCAGAGGCAAATGACTGCTTAGTTTAGTAAAGGCTTCTGTTCAGATATACAGATATATTAGTGTTTCGTTTCAGGGGTAGACTCGCTGTTTAACAAGATCAACTGTGACCGTACTGCCATAACTGACATGTTAGGTGGAAAGTCAGGGGTAACAGATGCCAACATGATGCAGGTAACTTTTAGCCCGCAGAACAATTTTTTAGTTTTTGTGTACACAGTTTACTAAGATAAGGTCAGCCAGATCTATGTTTTGCTTAAGTCTCGTATTTAATACAATGGAAGCCCTCTACAGTGGTTACCTCAGTGCCCCTCAGTGACAAGGGTTACTGGCTGCTGTAAAAAGTTGGCCGTGTGCGGCAGGTAGACACTTTCTTTATAGGAAAAGGGTAGAGCATCTCCATTTCTTATAGTGTGCACTATGTTGTCTCAAAGTTGAAACAGTCACTTATGTCGTAAAAACAGAGACCAAATAATGCTTGGGCAAAATGATGTTATAAAGTGAAACCGAGGAAGCTACAGTGAGTAAATTCGTGTGCACGAAGCTTGATTTTCTAAAAAAAAAAATGCCATGGCCGTTGTCTAAAGGTGGCCTTCAGTAGAGGTTCTACTGTTCAATCAACAATCGGTCAATCTTTTTTAATTGAAAAGTAAATACTTGAAAGAAACTGATGGCAACCAGTTGGCTGACGTGGACTCGCAACTAAAACATTAAAATAAGGCCTAGCGGGATCCAAATACGAAATACCTACATTAGCCATTTAAAATTTTTTTCAATTTTTCCTCCTTTTTTCTCCTTTTGTCCCCTTCTCTGACAATATTCGGTAACAACTAAGATCTTTTCTTCATTTGATGTGCACTTTAATTCTTATTTTAGGTTATTTTAATCTGATCTGAATCAACTTGATTTGTGTTTGGTTTTTAGTTTCTTGGATTAATTGAGCAAAGGACAAATGAACTTCTTCAAGTTCATGGATTCGTTACCACCAAGGTTTGCAAGTTTTTTCTTAAACTCATTAATTATTCATGTGCTGATGACCCAATCAGCTTGCATCAATTGAGTCAGGTGCGTGTATTTTGATACCCAATGAACATACCGATCAAGAAACATTCGATTAGTTCAAAAACTGATCAAGACACTGATCAAGAAACTTGAATTTTAATCAGTCTTAATACTAAATACAGTATATTTGCCGCTTCAATCATTACTTAAAACAACAATAGGGCATTATATTATTCTTTCAACTTTTCCGCTGTAGAAATAGATCGTGTTCAATGACGACTTAGCTGATGTAGTTCCCAGCAATTTCTTCTCCCAGAATGTTGCTTCTTCTTGCTCGCTCACAAACTCCTTCTCCTCCTTCTTGCACTTAAAGTGCTACTGAAGCCCTTCTCGAACCCCATCCTTCATCTCGGCATTTAACCAACGTCGGAACAGGACAAACCTTCGAAAAGCAACACACCAAATTCAATTCGCAAAACAGTGCATTTTAAAATTCTGAACAATGCGGTCTAAAAGTTGTCAGTTACCTTTTGTCACTAGCGTCCAAAGGATTCAAAGCTTCGGATCCATTTTTCTCCTCCAAATACCGCTTGAGCGCACAAATGATACCATAAACAGTCTTGGGAGGGTATCTTCCACCGGACTTTTTAGCTACCACCATCACGAATTTTGACAACCAATAGTTCAGCGACAGAGCATCCAT